CCCTCTTCCCCCACTCACACCACGCTGTGAGCGCGTGGTTAACCCCCCCTACTCCGAACCCCCACCGCCTCGCCCCCCCCCTCTTCCCCCACTCACACACCACGCTGTGAGCGCGTGGTTAACCCCGCCCCCCACTACTCCGACCCCCCCACCGCCTCGCCCTCACCCCTCCCTCGGACTCGCGTCGCTGAATCTGTGGGAATGCAAAGTCGCGTAGCCACTTCGTAGTCGCGTAGCCACTTCGCGATAGTCGAGGGGGGCTTGTGGCGCACGTGACGACGCCTCGAGGTGTCTGCGGACAGACACGCGCTCAAGGGGCACAGTCTCGGACGGGTATCCCCCAGCGCCTGCAAATACGCGGCGTCACGTATCGCGTTAACTGGGAAGGAAAAATCATGCATACGCATGGATTATGTAACGCTTGTAAAAAAAAATCGTGCGTTTGGCATCGGAAGTACGTACAACAAATAGCGACCATATTTACAAGAGTTGTAGTACCCAACCCCCTTGCATGAATGCCTGAATGCTTTAAACCTTAAGAGTTGGGAAGCGTTTATAAGTATCACTCCTCCACGTGTATGAATGTCACACATTTGATATTTACAGTGAATTATGGGGGGAAGGCTGCGTCTCGAATGGCAATGTCATTGTTGCTAGGCTGGGACCATGAACTTCCAACACTTGAGAACCCAACTACTGGACATCTGTGATTAAAGAGCTTTATAGCTCATCGGATTCCTCCAGTCTAAATAAATATCCTGACTCCGACAGTCATGGGTTCCCAGATTCAACGCCTTGATGGATCTCCGCACCAATGCTTTCCTGGCTAAATGCTAAACGAATGTTGGCTATCTGGCCACAAATCGACGGTCGTCTCAATCGTGATGGCATCGTCCTGTTCGACATGGGCATTATCCAGTGTGTCGGCCATTCCACTGCAGTTTCCTATGTTTTCATGCAACGACTGGTAATGGAGTTTAAGAAGATATTGGGCACTGTACACAAAATATAAATGGGGCTTTCTTTGTGTGTGGGAGGCATTTAAATTAATTGCCCATTAAGAACAAAATCACCTCTTAGGCAGATTAGCTCAAGGGCTCTTGGTAGGAACCACTTTTCTTTCTCTTGAGCCACACAATCTGGTGCTTTGCAGCAACTATAGCTGTGGCCGTTCACTGCATACTTTCCTACAGCCACATCCTCTTATAACGATGCTATTGGGAATGCAGCAAACTTTCGCCATATCGTAATAAAATGGAGCCCACCAAAATGAACACAAATTAAAAAAATCATATAAATATGTGCAGTCCTCTCAATATATCAGTGAAATTTACCAGCATAGCACTGCAGTCCAATTTACTTGCGTTTTATCGTATCAAACTTCAGAAACAATATCACTGCCACAACAGTTACATTAACTCCCAATACATTTGCAAGTAGTGACACAGATGAAAGACTACGCGTTGTACTGTATCTGGGCTTGGACTCATAAGCATTATCGGTGTTGTTTTAATTCACTCTCTTCAGACAAATCTACAATAACTTTTTCATAATCGAACAATTTATGAATGAGTGACTCAAGTGCCTAATTGCCTATGCTAGAGCACTCTGCCATCACTGCTTAGACCAGGGGTCGGCAACCTACGGCTCCGGAGCCGCATGCGGCTCTTTACGGGCTGCTTCTTGACGATGAGTACGTATGTACTCAGATGCATTGCGGCTCTTGAAATACTGAATTTTGTACCGAATTGGAAAGAAATGGCTCTTCTTGTTATTTTGGTTGCCGACCCCTGGCTTAGACCATGGGTTGGAATTAGGCCACCCACCCAAGATGATTAAGATTACAGGATTAAAGATATAATGTTGTTGGAAGATGGTCTAATCCAAGCGACCATTGACCCATCAAAAAACACCACAGTGCAAATTTGGTTTGCACATGTTAGGCTTTGACTGCGTTGGGAGGGATTTCCCCGCACAGCCACAATGTCAGTTTGTTGACTCCTACAGGACAAACACAGTCTGGAGGTCATAGTAAGGTACAGAAGATACAGGATATCAAAGGTCTGATGTCCCTTTCAGGCCATTTTGAATTACACAACAATTTTTTTCTCGGTTCTTTGAAATAACGACTGGTCTACAGGAGCAATTCAGTCTAGAGGTCACGATCAGGAGCTGCAGCGACACTTATTTACAGAAAGTTAAGATATCAGTGGTTGTAAGAACTGACATTTGTCAATTTATCTCTCGACGATTGTAGTTATTAAAACATGTGTTACAAAATTTTGACCAATTTTGCATGGAAAAAACATGCATTTTGCTTAACTGATATAATCAGATACTGCAATGATTTAAAAAAACACAACATTTGAAGTCCTATGGGGTTATTGATTTATTTTTAATGTGTTGTAATTAATTAGGACTGACTAAAAATGTGTAATGCTGAATGGCAAAATGCATGGGTTTAGAAGACTATACTCACATGTTTTACAATTTAAGCACAGTATTTGCACAATGCCTCTTACCACCATATCATGTAAAAATTAATGAAACGATGACAGAACAAGATATGTCAGTTATTAGCTCAGAAATTGTTAGTTTGTCCATTAGTTTTTTTTTTAGCGGACTTGAAATTCAATTGAAATTGTGTTTTAATGTGTGCTGCTGCTAAACAAATTCTTCAAAATGCCAGGTTTATTTTAAGAATCTTAATAGTGCTTTCTGTTGTGCACGGATCCTCAAACCCTGTTAGAATACACTATGATGTACAGCCTATCGCGGTATGAAGGCTTCTCTTCACATCGTGCCAATAAATCATGGGTTTGTTTAACTATACTATACTTCACCATTCTGGTCAGTGCAGGTTGATGAAATGGGTGCCCAGGACTGGTTCAGATATCACTCATCCATCGATGTTAGCCCTGCCAGGCAACTGAACTCTGATCTCCAGGTTCACTCCCCTGAATGCACTGTAACATCTTAAGTTATGCAAATGCTTTTGTCGATAATTAATTTGAAATCACAAACATGCAATTGCTGATTAAACAAAGAGTTGCATGGGAGTAGCACACAGAGACCATCACCTATGGTATAAGAAGGTTATTTACAGGGTGCTTCAAGAACATGTTAAAACTTATATGGCACTATAATTTTTAATGGAAAAAGAACGGATAATACACTGTGACATGATAACAAATGTAATGTTAATTGCTTCAACTAGTCAAAGAGTTTCCACTTGTTCGCCATCATTGTCAACGCGTGCCTGGAATCTTCTCCAGGTGGTCTCCAGAGCCCAGAGGCACATTTCATGTGGTATTGTTGCAAATTCTCAGAAATGCAAAAAAATTTTAAGCACCCTGTATAACTAGAGCAGTATACATTTGGATGCTCGTAATTTGGTGGACAATTCTGCCAATATGTAAACGGAGTACACAGTGTTGGGCCATATCATTGACCTGGAGAAAAGGTTGTTATTTCGGACAAATATACTAAACGTTTGAACAAAAATACGTTCAGGTGTTGGTAAGGATGCCAGAAGTTTTCATGATATTTGCATTTGCCTGTTTGGGACTCGTTTTACTGAACGGGGAGGGGGGCAGTGGGAGTTGATTGGTTGACTTTTAGCTTCATCGCACTATGTTGACTTACATTTAGAACTCCCTTACTGCTCTCCTGTCCCAGAACAGATATAATAAGCAGGCCTCACGAATGTCGCTCGTCCAATGCATGGACCAAGCAGTAGCGGCGCTCATTACGTTTTCTCGTGCGCGTCACGTGCGAGTGAACGTCACTCCGTTTAAAATCCAATCGTCCCTTACCCCCCCGGTCCATCTCGGAGCACCATTAATCTCACGCAGCATGCTGGCTACTTTCTCACACACATTGTACGTCTCGCAACGAGAGATGTTTGCACTGTGACTGCTGTAGAAGGCGAACGTTTGCACTTGTGGACACGCTATGACTGCAGAGAGATTCAGTGGGAATTTTGTTTTATTTATAACGACTCATTGCCATGTGTTACCATTATGACCAGTGGCGGCTCCTGCAAAATCTCTCAGGGGGGGCAAATGTCTGGATGATTGATAAGGATAAGGTCCACCCATGCAATGGATAAATTAACAGCTTAAGCATATAAAGGCAACTTCACTTCTTTAATATTAATGAAAAATAAAGTGACTCTTACAATACATATTGTTTGTTTTTATACTCACTATTATTACAATCCACTCAGTTTTTTTTATTAAAGATTCCACGAGGTAGCGACAAATAATATTGTTGACTGAAACGTGCTTACATATGATGACGTGAGCACGTTAGTGCAAGCCCTCCCGGAAGCCATAGAGAATGCATTGCAGCGCCCGCCGTTCGAAAAAAAACATCTTTGAATGTAAGTCTATGGGAACACTCTGGGCGATTCTCAGCCAGAGTGAAATCGCCCAAAAAGAGGCGGTACTCCACAGAACGTGACATGACGCTGATTGGACTATATCCAGAGGCACAGTAACGGCTGAGATTGGTGGTGCGTCGCCCAATCGCCCTAATGAAGAAACCGCCCCTGATTATGACTGTGATAGTCACATGGTAGTTGCAAGGTCTTGCGGAGTGAAGAAAGTGCTGGCAAGGTGTGGTGGCATCAATAGCTTTGGTTATGATGACATCCTGATCTTGATTTTAAAATGTCCTCACCCAATCGTACCTGAATCACATTTCTTCTACGTACAAATACAATTCGATTCCCGAAAACTCATCCTAGTACAGTTCATACTGTGATCATAATTTACACAAATGCCCAAACTTATCAAAATGGTCTTAATATTGATATTTAACTTGACATTTCTCACTTTCTCATCTCACATTTGTCAGCTTTGCAAAGTCCTCCAACAAAAGATAAGACCATCTCCAGTCTACCGCTAATTTCCGTGGTATTTTTGAAATAGTACAGTAAACCCCGAAGGGAGCGTATCGTGCTAAATGGTACATTGCATTTTTGGTTTGTTTTGCAGACACGAGGATTGCAGCACTGAACTGCAACGGACCTCAGAGTCTCCGACTACCCAAGATCAGGATGCGGGATCAAGCGTTGAGTCTACTACTCGCCAAGGCAGACACATGTTAATGGTACAACATCAATCCCTACGCTGCCAACAAACAGACAACTACACAGTTAACACAGCCCCATTGTGCCCGTGCCAACAACTTCAGCCATGACCACAAAAAGTATTTTCTTGGCTCACTCCTTTCCTACGTTTGTGGTAGGTTACTGAAAATTAACCTTCAGTAATTCTTATTTACTTCTTTAAACTTCCATGTTATTACGTAATTACATGATAAACACATAGATTGCAGGATAAACTCTTCGAATTACAATTGTTACGTTGAATTCTGTATATATGTGAAGTACCGGTGAGGACGCTTGACGCCGAGGTTGAGGCACACGTATGTTTATTCACAATATGACAGTGGGCATATACACACTCGAGGGGGTATCGGCCCCCTCAGCCGTATAACTCGGGATACACCCCTAGCTAACTCTGTCCTAGCCCCGAATCCTCCACTAATGGGCTAGGGGAGGCTAACTGGCCCGACACTGGTAAGTCGGGCCCGGTACCCGGAGTTCCAGACCAGCTCTTACAAGAGCACCGGCTCTGGCTTTCGGGACCACGCCGCTGGCTCAATCCTGTCCGGCCCTGAAAAGGACATCGAACCAGGGGAGTCCAGGGCTCTATCTAAGACGTCTTCAATCTTCTTCCCTTAGCTTAAACATAACTGCCGAGCCCTTTGAAACATCCCCTTTTATACCCAACCCCTCCCTGAGGGGTGGGGCCCCGGGGAATCATGACGTTCGAACCAGCCCCCCCCAGGGTGTCTGGCTCGGACGTCGTAGAGGGCACTTGCTCGTGCACTTACGTAGCCCCGCCCACTGTGTTTGTTTTCCATAGGCTGCCATGCATAACGGGCCCTCTCTTTAACACCCCTACATCTGTTTACGTGCACAAAAATTGTAACGACACAAAAACAGTTCAGTTACAGAGTGGTCGTGCTCTTAATATCTCACACATTAAAAAAAAACGCATTACATTACGCGTTTGGCAGAAGTATTATAAGCCTTTTTGATAAGGTTACGTTTTAAAACACTTCATGCTGCACTACAGTACTCATATGTCCTGTCCCAGTAAACGTGGAATGTTGGGCCTACGTTAGTCCATCGATTTAAATCACGTGCCAACATTGGTGCATGTTTTATTGGGGTCTTATGCGTGAATTTGTTGTTGATGTATGGCATTCATGAATGCAGCAAGTGATTCGCTTGCATTTAAAGTAACTCCACAATGACATAGTTTTCTAAATGCTGGTGTTACCAGATGATGGACACACATTGTTAAGTACGATACAAGGCTGGAAGCCTCTGCCTGGTCCACCATTTTCTCTCATCCATTGCTGTGAAGGTTGTGGTGTAAGCTCTCCCACTCATGAACCGTGATCTTATCCACCGGGAACTCCCCATTTTACCATCCAGATTTTCTGGAGGATCAACATTTTCAATCATCCATAATATAACAAATGTCACTTTATAAAATGAGTTAATATGCACATACTGTATACGCATTAGTGCCTCTGAATCTTTGGAATGGGAGCGCTATATAAATGCAGATTATTATAGTATATTGGCAGCTTCACATCACCTTGGGCAACCATAGAGCCTGTTGTGACTAATTAGATCATGCTAGCCAGTGAAATTGGGCTTCGTGTTTATGTTGAATTTATAATGGCCACATTCCAGTAATCACTGCTGCAACTGCAGAGATTGCTCATAACCTGTGTTTAATCAAATCAGCATGCTCCACCTCTGCTGCAGGCTGCACAGAAAATTAACGATCTTTCTTAATGGCTGCAATGGTTTTTTTTTTGGGGTTGTATTCAGTCTGCTAACGTGACATTTTATTTGGAACTTGCCTTAAATTCTTCAATTTTTTGTATGTTATAAATTCCGATGGAGTATTTCAATAATGTGTTGCATAAACTGCATACGTTAGTGATTTTCCATCAGTCTCACCTTAATACAAAAGGCCAACAATGTACACGAACACAAAAAAAACGAATGGCTTGTGTGTGCTAAATTCCAGTGGGCTGAATGCAGTACAGTGATATTTTGTACGCATTTAAGCAGTGCTCTATGTATTTCATGCTGCCGTTAATGCACTATTTATTGTAGGTACTGTATCCTATCGGAAACAATAATACAGGAATATGCGAGAGTACGTGTTGCAAATTATGCCATTTAGTTCAATTGCAAGTGTTAATTTCCCAAGCATGACATGTTAACGCCAGTGCAACGAGGAGACAGACAGCTTGTTCCATGACCTGTCAATATCTTAATCAAAAGATTGTCTCAAACTCACCAAGTTGCCTTTGGTTGTAAGATATTAGAATAACAATGAAATGCATGTGTGTGCGTGTGTGCGTTATTCTTAAAGTGCATAAAAGCCCAAGCACCTGGATTGTTTATTGGATAACACGATTAATCTACTTTCAGTCATACGTCACGTTTAATTAATTCCTCATATTAAACTAAATACATGAACATAGGTGGATTAAATAAGGCTGGACTCGTATGTGTAATGATTATAATCATAATTATGACAGGTAGATGCAAATAATACAATATTATAGGAACTGCAATTCAAAAGAAAGTTTTTTCAGGAAACAATCCTATCTGCTATAAAAAAAAACTTTTAACATGCATTGAACGTATCGTATCGTGGTAACCTTAAAATGAAATCGCTAAAGCTACGTATCATACATGCATTGAACGTATCGTAACGTATCATATTCTATACTCCCCAAGATTCTGTCCGTCGTCTACATACTTGAACGATGTTAGGTTGTTGATGGCAATTTTGTCGTATCGTTATCGCCATCGTAAGATCGAAATATCGTAAGTCGGACCATCGTAACTCGGAGACTACCTGTAATGTAAAAACTAAATTTGTTCACTTCTACTGAGACACATTGGAGAGATGAAGCGATAGAGGTGCATTTCCATTAATAACGAGAAGCCTTTGATCTTTTAACCAGATAGCACCGTGGAAACGATTAGACCTCAACAACAAACGACCGTAATTGAGGTGCATTGCCGGAGGCATCGCAAGATGGCAGATTGGAAAACTACTATTTTCTTTTTCTTGGGTCTTTCGGTAAACTACGACGTTTCGATCGCAACACAAGCAATCGTCATCAGGAGAAAAAATTGCGAGAAAGCTGCTGAGGCAGGATGTTTTAAAGATTTGAAATGGATGTGGCGGTGGCTCTACGACCTTACATTGACATGCTAATCTCTCACAATAGAATGGCCACTTCTGCAGCTTCGTCATCGTGGAAATAGCTCTCCGATCTTACATTGACATGCAAATTTCTCACTTTAACATCACTAGCCCCGCCCACTTCGCTTATAACCCTTGGGCTACACCCATTTCAAACCTTTAAAAATCCTGCCTTAGCAGCTTTCCCGCAATTTTTTCTATTGATGACGATTGTTTGTGTTGCGATCGAAACGTCGTAGTTTTTGTTATTTGTTTTATTATTTTCTTTGAACCTATCTACGTGACTTTACCGAAAGACCCAAGAATATGAATTCCTGCAGTCACGAAAGCTTTAAGTAAATATTAACTTTTTGCTTATATAATACCGTGAGCCTGCGTAGTTTATATCGTTCACCTTACGTCTAACAACAAGGTGCGCCTTTTGAGATAAGGTGAGGGAGCCCCCGTGCCCCGCCTGGAGAGTGCCCAGCCCGTGTCACGTAATGCGTGACACGGGCTGGGGGACAACGTGGGGACAGCGTGGTGAAGTGTTGGGAACGTGGCTAAATTCACAATGTCATCTACTTCATCATCTCGGTGGTGAATGAAGGCCTACCCATGCCATATTTGGACTTGGATAGTTCGCCTTTAGGCGTTCTCTGCTCTGACAATGGTGAGACTAGGCCATAAAGAAGGCTGTCTCTGGTGTAGGCCAATCGGTTTCAAAGACAATGCAGATATTATCATATCATGTTTGTTTGCATGTTCACCACAGGTACATGTGGTTAATGCGAACTTGATTCCTTACAAAAGGTGTCTATTTGGTGTTTAAACATCTTAACACCTGTTTTATTGTCAGAAAGGGTAAACCCTATCGTAATTTTTTTCATCAAAAAGTGTAGAATTGACATGAATGATTTCTTATCTGTGAATCAGTGGAGGTTCGTATATAATGTAATAATGCGGATTCCCTAGACCCTACAAACAGGAATTATGGGCATTAAAATAAAATATCAATAAGTGAAGGTCTTTGTACCAAATGTTTTAATACAAGAAAATGATGTAGCCATACAGTTTTACTTAGGAAGTGTGAAATATAAAGAATAATATCTGAAGTAATGAACATTGCATGTAAGAGCATTTATTTTAACATTGGTTTGCACTCCAATAATTAATGTACTATACGTTGACTCATTAATCCCCCCCCCCCCCCCCCCACTTTGTGCAAGAGCGCAGAAGCGTGGTCACCACATTTTTCTACTCCTCTATATAAGGAAGGAAACAGTAAGACTTCTCCACAAATCTGGCTGTCGCCTGATGAAGCTAGTTGTAATTACTGGCGAAACATTGTACTCAGATTGTAAATGTTGTGGCTTGGCTCTCCATCACACCGGTGTGCTGTACTAGTGACGAATTGGCCACGTTCTGTTAACGTGACAACCCTTACTAGTTGGCTGTATCGGGTGGTGGCGGGTTTTAACGACACTATACTTTTTTCAGGCGAGTCATACATTGGTACATTTAGCCAATTTTATCTTAAGGAGTGCTCGTAGTCTGAAACTGGAGTACCCAGAGAAAGTCCACGGGAATACGAGGGGATAACACTTAAAAGGTCCCACACATAGCTTCACTAACCTACTTGTTATTCTGACATTTCCTGGCCACCTCGCAGCCCAGAAGTATTAGTAGCTTCACGAAAGTACAAGATCTACAACCTTCACAGACAACGCATTGGATTACAGGCCTTTAAATTGTTTATTTTGCGTATTTACTGATATTGTAAGTACGTGTGTCGAACTCGCACCATACGTAGCGAGC